ATGAGCTCAAAGATGGGTGATCCTACTGGAAATGATCCCATAGGTGGGTCTTCCCTCCTGGAAAATGACCACATATCCTCTCACATTGAAGCCAGCCTTACAGACACAGCCATCTCAGTTTACAGGACAACGAACACTTGAGTGGTAAATGACTTTGTTGTCAGACATATAGATTGGTCTGTATTAGTACAAAGGTAAAAATAAAAACCTCAACCATTGTTTGATTTACATTAAACTTTCTTTAGAGAGCTTATTAAGATGTATCTAAGAAAAATACATGCTTGTGTAAAAAATTATTATTCAGAAAGTCAGCAAGTATTTTGTTATTTTTTTCCTGCGATATCATATTCATTAGTGATTCATGCTCTTTTATTGTTCAAGTGCTTTTGACTTCTTCATATTTCTTTCCTAGTGGGTTTTGTACAGGTGTATACATAACTCTAATGATTTAGGCTGGAAATTACAGGATTTCTTAACAAAAGAGGAGGGAAGCTCTGGAATAATCACCCAGAATAAATGGGAAATACAAGTTCACAAGTTCATTTAAGTCAAAAATTGAGCAGTTTATGGAAAGAGATAACCAATGTGGTCGCTTACAGTAATCTAGGGAACTGATCTCAAGTACCTGAGAGGTCCTTTCCTGTTTCATGTTCTTCCGTGTGTATAAAATAAAACTTTAATCTAGATGCTGGGAAAGAAGAAAGACTACAAGTTAGCTTTTTCATGTTATCTCATTCTGCAGAACATACTGTAGTTATTTATAAATGTGTAACCACCAGCTGCCTTTTCTCACAGTTTTTTTTCTCTCTCAAAAATACACTGATAAGCAGCAAACAAGGAACGACCACAGGACGACATACATTTGTAAACAGTTCTCTTCAGAAGCAATAAACTGGGAAACATAAAAACCATGAAAAGCCAATTAACAGGATTTCTTACGAGTTTTTGGATTTCCTTTTCATTTGCTTTGTATTTTCACAGTGGAGAAAGAGAAGAGAAATGTATAATTGAAGATGTTCCCAGCGACACGTTGGTAATTGGTAGGTACCTGTCAGTGCTATATGATGATCTAACCTATGCAATACTAAAGATAGCTCGTAATGTAACAGGAAAATCTGTGATTGATGCATATGGTAAAACCATGGTGACAAGAAAGAGGGCACACTGAAAATAACTCCCCACAGCAGGGGCTAGTCATAATGTCCTCACACATTGTGCATATCCATCACACAAAGAAATGCAGGTTTCTGAAGTGCTTAACTGACTAGACAAAGAAAAAGAATGTCTTCTAATTCTACAGCAGCAGAATTGCTGCTTCAGTCTGTGCTTCTGTACATCCTGACTGATTTACTCATTCATACCAGAATTTCTGTAACGTGGTTTTCCCCATACGAATGGGTGAGTTACTTGTTTGATTAATGCTGGTCTGCAAAGAAGCAATTCAAGATGTATTAAAGTTCCATTTCATCTGGGATATCACAAGCACATTAAATTTGTCTACAAGGCTGTAAATGTAAGACTGAGACAGTAAAAAATAATATGTAATAACTTCTTTTTTATAAATAATATGACAAATATGAAAGACAATCCTAAAAATGCAATCTGAATACAACACACTTATGCTTTTGCAGGTCTCAGCATGCCTTCTGTATGCTAATATTGCCAGAGCATTAGGAGTAATCAGAAAGTATTACTTGTTAATCAACCATTTGTGTAGTATTCCAGAACATTTTCTAGTGTAGTAAAAATTTATTGCGTTTCACACTGTTATAAAGTGCCCCTCAGTGATTTTAATCATAAGCACATGAAATACATGTATTATTTTACTGTTAATAATTTATCTTTATATTTCTGCTGAAAAAGCAATACAGATGTTTAATATTAAGCTATGTTTTATTTAACAGAGTTTTATCTATGTTTTTATTCAGGGAGTTACAAAGTACAACGCTGGGATATACATAAACAAGACTTTCTTGAATCTGCTCCTGGTTTGGGAATGTTTGTGACCGTCACAACTCCTTCTGCAGAGGTAAATATGCTTTATGAAAGTTTCTGCAGGATTTATGAGTTGACTTTTAGCACTGGCAGGCAGCACTACCTAAAAATACGAGACACTCTGGGGGAAAAAGTAAATCCTCAGTCTACCAGCTAGTTCAGTATTTTGATGCTGAAAGCTGTAATTGCCTTGTGATTTCTATCAAAGTAAATAGAAACAGCAATGGTAACGATGTGTGCAGACAATTTTTGCATTACTACTGGATTTGGGAAACTGTGTCATTAAGAATGGTAAGTGACAACTGAGAAAACAGATTAGATTTTAAAAAAATGAAGATTCCCTAATGAAGTAAGATGGTATGGAATGTGCTTGAGAAAGGCAGGCTGATGATACACTAAACGGCAAAAGCCAGGATTACCATGAGGCTGCACATAGCCGTCGTGCATAGCAACTGCCTGTGTTGCCGTGAGCTTTGTCAGCAATGGACAATTTACTTCTGTGCCTAGGCGAGGTCTTAGTTTTCAAACTTTAAATGCTTTTCTACATTGCAGAAATCTATAACATTTCAATGTTCAGTGTGAGGTAAACCAGTTTATTTTTCTCGAAGTCTATTCTGAAATTCAGATATTAATTCAGAAATTAATGAGGTCATGAGGTTAATTGATTACTTTTTACACTCAATTCGCCGAGCTGGTTTTTGATTGTTTTATTGATATTTATAATGTACATACCCCACATATATAATATCTAAATTACAGGTGCTATTGTCAAAACTGTATGGGCCACAAGGAGCATTTTCGTTTACATCCTATCTATCTGGGGAGCATGTTATCTGCTTACAGTCTAACTCCACAAGGTTTGTGGCATTTGCAGGAAGTAAACTGGTAGGTGTATTTCTTAAACGTTCTTTGTTGTAATTGTACCAGTTGTCTACAAACTGCAGAGATTACAAACTGGATTAGAAGCTGGTCTAACTTCTCACAGATAATGAAACATTTCCTAGTGATTAAAGAAGACAAATCTAGAATTATGAAGATGAAGAGATAAAAAGACTGTTCTGCAATTTAAGAAGTCAAGATTAAAGAAGCAAGACTAATAACTGGAAAGTGATTTAATTTTTGTACAGTGCTTTGAATATGAACGATTCTAATCAATAAGAACAACTATTTGGTTCCAAAAGGTAGATAGGTAAGATTGATTAACACAAACGTTTGTCATAAAGATATTCCATGTCTTCACTAATTTAAATTGAATTCCAAAAGAAAATGTAAAATTTTAAGTTTTGAAAGATATTCAAATTAAGGATATATTAGCATACGTTATATTGTCTGCTACCAACAAAGCTGGTCTTAACACAGATTTTGGAAAAAGCAGCCATCAGAGGTGATATCATGGCTAGATAACCAGCTAGACATAAACATCGCATAATTACGTTAATCTGGGTAGGCTAAATTTCATCCTAGATATATGCTTTGGGAACATGACACAGAACCAAGAGTTAACAGTACTGATGTGAGACTATTGTACTGGAATAAGTAGGTGTTCTTACGGACTGCTTTATGGAAATGAGTGGAAATGTAATCACACATACTGCAAAAGCAGTTTGGTTCTAATAATAAAAAAATTTGTGAAGCTCATCAACGAGACAGGGTGAGGGGATAAAGCATTGGTTGGTCATAGCTAACTGCACACCGTGAATGTGATTCTGAGGATATACTGGGAGATTTTGATCTGGTATAGATGGAGGTGTATTAGTATCATTTTACATGATGCATGCACCACGTAAAGTTCTGGTCATCCTGTTTAAAAGAAGGGAACAGGTGTGGGGAAGGAGAACATTGATAGCACAAATGTTAAACAGGGTAGTTTATTTAACTTAGGAACACAGAAAAAAGGAAAATATTACTCTTTATAATTTTATACGCAGGAATAAAGATCACAAAAGAAAAAGCATTCTTTAGCTAAGTTAAAACTTTAAGTGGTCTTCTGTAAGAACCAGATGCAGTGGTGGTTATACGAATGGCTTCAAACCAAAGTTAAATAAATTAATGGACAAAGGCTGTGAGATGGATTTCCAGATACTCAGTTAGCTAACTCTGAGAGAGCTGAAAGAAGATGTGCTCTTCATTTGTCGTTGATGTCTGAGTAGAACAAATTTCTGTTGCGGTCATACTAAGCTCTAGGATTTCTGCAGATATCTGTTTGGCTAAAAGTTTTTATTTTCTCTTAGGTACAAATTGGCTTCTAGAAGAACTTTCTCCTATTAGTTTTAGCAAAATTTTTCACTCATGACATGATAAGTTGCATAGTACTGCAAGTTGCATTCTTTTCTTTCTACAGGTCTGTTGCTTGGCAGGTTTGGGTCATTTTTGCTATAGATCATTGTCTTGGTTTGAAAAGACAGGTG